TATATATATATATGTATATATATATATATATATATATATATATATGTATAACACGTCTCCTGTGTTGGGGTAGGAGACAGCAGTGCACACAAATGATTGTGAGAGTTGGGAGGAAGAATCCTCTTATTCATATTTCCACCTCATATTTATAAGGCTTATTTGTATAATTTGCAGAAAAGATGAAATAATAATGAAAACAGTCGTTAATGCAATTAATGCATTAATTAAAAATAGATTTGTGATGCAATCTAGGTGTAATATAACGGCTATCAGCTGATCGTCGTATTTGAATTAGGTCGACCAAGGTGTCGGTCGCATGATGATTGCTCCTGTTGAGGTGAAGTCGGACAATCGAATAGTGGTGACCGGATGTCCTTGCAAGGAGTCTAGGCAGCTAGGATCGTAATTGTGATCTGCCGACATCGTGTGTCGATCAATGGGTTAGTCGTTAGATGGTCGTTTTAGATTACACTCTTTTAACCTCACTTTTTGATTATTTGGCAAACATTCTTGGCCATTTGATTACTCAGAAATTTGTGCTAACAGTTTTGATACATATGCATATATTTTAATTTCCTTGAATTTACATGGCTAGCTAACACGACACCAATTTTTACATATATGTCATTTTAAGTATATATGAGAATATGCATCTCGCTTTTTGAAGATTAAAATATAAAGGTATTTTCTTATGTTATATGGAAATTTTTGGTGGTATAAATTAAAAAAATAGGGTTTAGTTGATAGATATGTAAATACATAGAAATAGCACGGTGACGCTTGTGTGAAAATTCACATGAAGGAATGATATACTAATGTTTTAACATTATGAGTAGATGCAATACACATATTTCAAAGAAATTTTGATAGATAAGACAAAATAGGTCTTTTTTTGTGGAAAAAACATCTGAAATAAGAGAAATCACGGAGCTCGACCCAATTGAGATGGTTCCACCATACAAATAAAAGTTACTGAGATCTTATCTGTCATTGAACAACATAAAACAATATTATAAGTGCGGGAGCTGTTGACTTGACTTTTACTAGATGAATGATTGAAAATGTTGAGAAGTTGACGGCGATTTTACCGCGATGATGAAAAATTTATGGCGGGGTCATATGATGAAGATTTGACGTCGACAATGGTGATTATGACTATACAACAGCTGTCAGACAACGACAATGATAATGCCGACAGTGGCAACAACAACTGAACTATAATGTTTCGAGAAAAAAATACCAATGCTTATCTCAAAATGAGTCACTCCGTCCCGAGTAACCGATTTCTGATATTCGATCAAGGGGAGCTAAATCTCTCACTTATCGTAGATGTTTACCTTTGTGTTCTCAACTATCAAAGTCTTGTTGGTCTGGACCACCAGACTTTTGATGACCAAGCTAAATGGCCACTTGTCAGCTTGCTACACCAAAATAAATCTTAATTTCTATATATAAATAAATAAATATATATTATTTCAATATAATAATAATAATAATAAATAAATAAAAGAACTCAATTATTTCGTCCTGCACCATGCAATGGTTGTATTTATTATCACGAAACTTTCCTCCTCTTACACTAACAATACACAACACTTGGCCAACTACTTCCCCTCCCCCACCCCCTCCCAGCACTACTGGAATGCTAGCGGTCACACCACTGAGAACGTCCACACCCGGAGACCTAGCCGGAGAAGTTGGTGGCGCCGCCGCCAACCTCCCTACTTCCGACGACTTCTCCCTCGACTTCGACTTCGATTTCTCCGAGCTTTTCGCCGGGTTCGATGACGCCGAAACCCTTCCCGCCCTCGATGGCGATGCCGCCGACTTACCTGCCGCGCGAGCCGAAACGAATGGCGGCGGCGCGAACACTCAACAAGATGAGAGAGAAGAGAAGATAGCTTTGATTGATCCTGAGGAGGTCTTGAATTGTGAGGTAAAGGATGAGCCCTCAGCTTCGTCGGATATAAGCTCGCCGGCACCGGATAAGCACAAGGAGAGGGGAAGGAAGTCATCCGCAGGGCAGCATAAGGGCTCCAATGGGAAGAAAAAGGTGAACCGATATTAATTTTTTAATTATTTTTCCTAATAATATACATCCAAAAAAATTATTTTAGAAAAAAAATAAAGATATTAATTTTTTAATTATTTTTCCTAATAATATATATCCAAAAAAATTAATATAGAATTTTTTTAGAAAAAAAATAATTATTTTTCAGATTAAAATTATCTGAAATATTATTTTTTGTATTTAGGAGATAGCTCTCAACTACCCTCTTAATTTCGCTGATAGGAATGAATTTGAATTAATTTAATATCACATATAGTTTTATTTTGAGGGTGAAAATATTAATTGTGCAATTTACATTTCCATCTTCTTTCAAAGTTCTACAATTCAAAATCTCATAGTTAAATATATATGGGAGGAAGCAATCAAATAAATTAAGTGGCATTGACATACATGAATAAATCCTAAGTATTTACATTTCTACCCATAAGTATTTATATTTACATTAGGACTTAATACAAATCTTTAGCATTTCATTCATAGGTTAATGACACCAAGTTGTTAGATGTGTAAAAATGAAATTTTGGATTTTAGATATGATATAGATAATTAAAAATAATGATCACACAAATTTATACCATGAAAGAGTAATTTAATTGGTAAGCATAGGATAGTGGGTTCTACTCTAAAATAATTTGCAAAAAGGAGCTAAAATATTGCAACATAAGCCTAGAAGGTTTTAATATAGTTCCAAATCTGCATTATTAGGGGTTGAATTTGATGCCACACTCCTAGCTTTCTAATTCTACTCAAAGAATAAATGGACAAATCAATAATGATTAAGGGTTTATTTGGGGGGAGCTATAGCTTATTGAATAACCTGCTGATAAGCTGATTAAAAATAATCAGTTTATATCAGACCGCTGTCAGAAAGCCGTCACCGTCAGAAAGCCGCCACCGCACCTATTTAGGTACGGTGTGGAAACGTTGTTTTTCAGCATTTTGAAAACTCATAAGCTGCCAAAATGCAGTTCACCCAAACAGGTCATGTGTGTTTTCAAAACGCCACCGCACCAAATAAACTGCCCCAAACAGAAGAGGAGTCTTTACTTGTTCCTCCACAGATGCACATTATAATTCTATCTATGTCTAGCAGACCTGCACTGGGGGTTAAGATACTTACATCCACTTTCTTAAAAATTATATTGTTTTACCAAAAAAGTCAAGTCAGAGTGTTTAAATAGCTATCACCTAATTTGTTTTTGCAATTCAATCTCTATAAGGACTAGATTGAAAATAAGTAAATAATTAAAATGCAATAAGAAAAATTGATATACACTTTGATTTCCTTCTAAAATACATTCAATAGAGTTTTACAAAAAGTTTCAGGGGCATTTACATAAAAGCACTCAAAATTTTGCTATTTACAATGCTCTGACCCTCTTTCACCTCTGTTTTCAAATTCTTATTTCATAATATCCAAAGTAAATTTACAATAAAGACCCAACCAATGGATCTCTTTTTTATCAAATGCTCAATGGCTGTTTTGTAAATAATAGAATTTTGAGTGGTCTTTTTGTAATTAGTTGTCCCAACTTTTTATTCATAAATGTATTAACATTTTATCTATAAATTAGTAAATAAATAATTATATATTTACTTCTGGAGTGATTTGTAAATTAGGTGGATTGGACGGCGGAGCTTCACCGGCGATTTGTTCAGGCGGTGGAGCAGCTGGGGGTGGAGAAGGCGGTGCCGTCAAGGATTTTGGAACTCATGGGAATCGACTGCCTCACACGTCACAATGTCGCCAGCCATCTTCAGGTACTCCTATTTTATATTTAGAGTAAATTACCAAAATAACCCCGATTATTTCCATAATTTATAAATTACCAAAATAATCTCGGATTATTTTAAAATTGGTTATTCTCAAATTTAAAGAGAAGACGGATTATTTTGATACTTCTATAAAATCTATAAAATCCTGGTACTCCTATTTTATATTTAGAGTAAATTACCAAAGTAACCCCGATTATTTACATAATTTATAAATTGCCAAAATAATCTCAGATTATTTTAAAATAGGGCTTTAATAGTCCTCCATAAAAATCATTTAATCTCAAATTTAAAGAGAAGGCACGGCTGACACTTTACTTTAAATTTTGATGATTTACATAAATACCACCCAAATTTTATGTTCTTATGTATTTATTTATCTAACACCTAAATTTTAATTTTTACATATTTGCCATTTTACTTATGCATGAATGGTGTGTTTTATTTTTTTTATATTAAAATAAAGATATTGTTGATATGATATAAAAGGTTTGGGCGGTATAACCTAAAAAGTAAAGTTTGGGCATTAGATATGTAAATACACATGAATCGGATGGTATGTGTGTAAATGCCTCTTAAGTTTAATAGGAAATGTTTTAATCTTTAATTCAAGTTCAAAATTCTAAATGAAAATTAAATATAATTAAAATGATGAGAAATTGTAATGTATATATATATATATATCTCATCTATCTAATAATTTACATACATACATACATACATACATAGCATCTAACTAGTTTTGGCATCATGCTAATTTACAAGGAGTTTCTTAATTTCTATTTTTTCTTTCCAAATAGAAATATCGATCACATCGAAAACATGTGATGGCAAGGGAGGCTGAGACAACTAGCTCGAATCAAAGACGACAAGTGTATGTTGCTTGGTTGCCTCCAGCAATGGGCATTCCTCCGAATGCTAATTCCATTCATCATCTTCATCATCCTTCACACATGCAACATTTTAGACCACTGCATGTATGGGGTCACCCGACAATGAACCAATCATTGATTCATATGTGGCCAAAGCATATAGTCCCGATCGGACAAACACCACCGCCACCATGGGTTGCACCTCACCCTGTTCAACCTCCTCCGTTGCCGCAACACGATTCTCCATGGCCTCCTCATTTTGCTAGGGTATATCTCTCTCTCCTCTTTATTCTCTTTGAAAAGCATGTTATACAATCCAACTATATGTCTATATATCATGATAATTGGAGCATTGAAATACATTCAACTTTACTTCTCTAATTTTCACCTTGGGTATATGAGTAAAGCTGAATGTACTTTATATTTGGAGAAATTAAGGCTGAATTTGTCTAATTATGTTTGCCTCAATGCTATCTAGGAGTCATAGAGTGATATGAATGGATCATATTACCAATTGGGGGCAACATGGAGAAGTCTAAAAAATGGGAAAATAATTTGAGTTTGGCCAATGTAAATAATTGGTTAGAAGTCCTATAGTTCCATAAGTAGGCTAATCAAACAAATCCTATAAAATATAATGGGCTCCATGATAGTTCATTTAAAAAAAAAATTGCAAGTACATTAACCAATAAAGAAACAAAAGGAAATAATAAGACAAGAGACTCATATCCTCTTACAAAAGAACAAAAAGAAGATCATTCATCAAGCACCCTATACAAAGTAAAATCTGTATCGACGGTCATTCTGGTGCAAGTATGCGGAACTTTGTTATTGCTCCAGAAAGTATGTTAGAAAATAACCTGCTTGAATCTAGACAGAAGAGCAAAATTAGAATTGTTGGGAGCTTCTAGCTGCCAAAACCTCCAATCAATACTTCTCCATAAAAAGTCCATAACATTGACTTTGTCAGTCCCCATAATAATTCTTCGACACTCTATTATCCAATCTTCAATGAGAGTAGAGAGCCAACACAACTATCAATTCCACTGAAGTGTTGTCCCAATGAAAAAGCCCTTTACCTGTAACTGAAATAAGTTCTCCCATCTCATCATGTATGACAATATGAATCCCCGCCCATCCCGAGGAGTAAAGCGCACCATCAAAATTGACTTTAACCCAAGCCGGAGGGGGAGATGCCAGAAAGAATGAGAGCACAACTCGTCAGTTTGACTAGCACCCCAGTGCTCCGAAAATGGATATAAAGATGAGTATACCAAAGAGATAAATGATAATTAAGATAATAGAACAGTTATATATGCTCTTCAATACTGAATAGTTACGTTTGTATAAATGGTGATTAATATCTTTAAATCTTACCAACCATTTAAGAATTGTTATTTGGTAGAATCAAAGAGATATAACAACTAAACCATAAAATATCATCTTCAATTATCATGAAGGTAAAACTAGTATGATCAATCTCATCATCCTCAATATGCAATTGGAAAAAAAATGGCAATCATTCTAACTTTCCCTTTCACTTGTATCATTGAATTTGAAAGTAGCATCATAATGTGCATATTAACTCACAATCAAACAAAGTAAGTTTAATCTAGTATTACCAATCGTGTCAACCAATTATTCACGTAGGAATGAAAAACAAATACTTGATGTATTGCAAATCATATTCAAATTTGTAAATTAAAATATGGAATAATGCATCATGTACATCAAACTAATCATGATGAATCCATAACAAATCTAGCAATAAAAACATATACGAGTTGTAAATGGCAAAGCAAATATTAATTCATGTATTAGCATAATAAATTTTATGCCATCAAATCATCATAATGTAGAAATAATAAACATTTTAATCACATAAAAGAATCCCTTATAGCAAATCCTTGTTGGCAGAGTGATTATTATCAAGGTTGTGTTGAGAAATAAGTTAAGAAAATTATTGTTAGAGCTGTATAAGCCATAGGATAACTAGAGACCATGAAGAAAGAAAGAAGAAGAGAGATTTCTGATATAATAAAAGCTCTAAAGAAAATTAATTCCAAATCCTGTAGATGGACCACCAATAAGAACATCACTAGTGGTTGTTAGAGCTGTATAAGCCATAGGATAACTAGAGATCATGAAGAAAGAAAGAAGAAGAGAGATTTATGAGATAATAAAAGCTCTAAAGAAAATTAAATCCAAATCCTATAGATGGACCACCAATAAGAACATCACTAGTGATAGAAGACCGATGATTTAAGTCAAGTCCACAAAAAGAGGAGAATAAGAGAGATTGATTGGGAAGGAACTCAACAGAGTAGATTGTGAGCATTTAAGCTATGCTTAGTTGAGAGCTGGTTTAGCCTCAACACAAGCAAACTTAATCCATGTTTGACTTAGTTTGATTCAACTATACTAAAAAAAATATGTTTGGTTTAGTTTTTAAGAACAAGCTAAGTTAAGCTAGTCAGTAAACTTTGATCAATTAATCTCTATAGTTTAAACTCTAGTTTCATGGATACTATATATTCTAGCAAATGAAACCCCTTTCTATCTAGCTAATAACTTTGTCTTATTACAATCTCTCTGTCTCTCTCTCAGTCTAACTAACAATTTTCTCTTTTGATTCAGGGAACACCATACTTTCCACAACCGCTGCCTGCATTGGTAAACATATTGATCTCCACTGTGTTGAAAACTCATTATATATAAGGATGGAAATCTATTAAGATAAGTACTTCAACATAAATCTAATTGAAAATTTATCTTTACTTGTCTTAAATTGATATTTATGTATGTCACTAGTGTTAATATTATTATTTAAGTTAAAATATCACAATATAAATTAAGTATAGTTAAATATTGTTTCTTGTGGATTAATAATCTTATTATAGGTGAAATTTAAATTTATTTTTATTTTTTTCTAAAATGATGAGTTAGATGCAAGAGACAATGAGCTTAATTTTAAATACATGCCACTCAACTCTTTTATATTTATAGATCTAACACATAAACTTCATTTTTTTTGCATATATGCAATGAAATGGTGTCTCTCTCTTTTAAAATTTAAAACAATGATATTTTTTTATGTGATGTGAAAGATTTGGGGGTTATAAATATAAAAAAATAAAATTTATGTTTAAGAAATGTAAATACATAGGAATTGAGTGGTATGCATGAAAATGGCCCAAATCTTTTCAATGCTAATTAAATATGATGAAGTAATTAAACATGCGTGTAAATAATGCAGACGTTTCCAGCAGTACCAGTTCCCGGCATTCCGCCGCTTCCCATGTGCAGGCCGGACGGCGTTATTCCGACGGCGGCTCCGCCGGGTCCACCGCCGTGCAAACAAACAGGCTGGTTGCACCAACTCGAAGCTCATCCGGTAACTAATTAAGATTTATATACTATATGTCTTATATTTTCTTTATTGATATTTTCTATTTTCTTAGGTTTAAATATTTCCTTTATCAATTTCAAGGTTGTACTTATACTAGCTAGATATATCCCGACTCATTGGTGCGGCCTCTGGCATAAGTCGCTCGGGTCGGGGGTTCGAATCCTGCGGCACGAGCTCTTTGGATCAATTAAAGCACACATGATTTTCGACCCAAATGGGGGAATCGAATACCGATTCCCTGATATATATATATATATATACATATATATATTAAACCAAAGAACATTTCATCATTCTAGTTAGCAAGATTTAGATACAAACAACTTAATTCTTTTAATTTTTATATAACATTCTTGCTCTTAAAAATTAAATGGTGTTATTTTTGATGTGATATGGAAGACTTGGGGGGTAAAAAGGTAAAAAAGCAAATTTTACGTGTTAGATATGTAAATACGAAAGAAATGTGCGGTATGTATGTAAATTTCTCTTCTAGGTATTATGAACTTCCCTCTCATGAGCTCCCATGCCATCCCAATGGCCTCATTAATATCTTCTCCGACGAGTTCTCTTGAATTCCAATGTCTCGTTGGGCTCGTTGATATCTTGACTATGACTTTCTCTTAAGCTGAGCTTGAGCTCATTGTTAGAGTTCGCTAGAGATCAATAGAGTTTATCTCGACTCAAGCTCGACTCGACTATTTATAAAATTCTTGTGTACTTTTACACACTAACCCTTCCATGCTAAGATATATTTCTCCCATGTCCAATAATTCAAAATAATACAAAGTTATTTTTTGTTTTACAAACACTTGTTTTTAATTTACATATTTTTGACCATCGTAGCAAAAAAAAAGGAGGAATTTGCATGCATACCACCCAATTCCTGCGTATTTACATATGTCAGACACATACTTTGCTTGTTATTTTCATACCGCCCAAATCATTCATTTCACATCAAAAATACCACAAGTTTAATTAAAGAAAAGTGATATACACCTTTTCATACATAGGAACGATGGTACGTGTATGTAAAAATTGAAATTTTTGTGCTATCTATATATGTAAATACATAACAATTGAGTGACACATATGTATTGTTGTTATTGCGAAATCTAGATATACCAGTTTATGTGGTATATATATAAATCAAACAGGAGAACGATCGACGAAGTGAAAAAAAGAACGAGAAGAATCACACCATAATAGAACAACACAGCGGAACACACATATTTACGTGGTTCGGCAAATTGCCTACGTCCACGGAGTTGCAGAGGATTTTACTACTTGAGGAATTTACACTAGTTGATCACCTCGACGTACAAAAGGAATCTCACTCTTCGTTGCTCTCTCTCTTCTCTCTCTACACCAATATACACCGAAGCAAACTCTACACCGAGATACACCGAAGAAGATAAACTTGCAAGAGAAATAAAATTAATTTCTCTTCTGCCACAAGCCACCAAGAAGAAGCCTACGGAGAATAATCTTCTTCTTATTCTTTCTTCTTCTTCTTTCTTCTTCTTTTTTTTTCTTCCTCTACCCCAAGGAACTACTCCTTGCACTTCTCTTCCATTGTCCATTCTTCTTTTTTTTTCTTCCTCTACCCCAAGGAACTTCTCCTTGCACTTCTCTTCCATAGTCCAGTGGAAACCTTCCTCTATCCTGAGGAAACTGAAGAACTCAAACAGTGACTTTTGAACCCAAGGAGAGCCATCCGAAGCTTTTATCACGAACAGGAGAGAGCGAAGAGATTCTTCACTTCACAAAAGAGGAAGGCAGGAGTGGTTATTTGTGAAGAGGTGTGACTCTCCAAAGCAAAGTAACCGCCCAAGCATAGTGGACCGGGCTCCACCGTTCCTAACAATTCTCCCACTTGGATACCGATACACAGGCTGCAACATCTCCTTCCTCAAATTGATATCCTCCACTGGCGGTGTCGCCTTTTTTTCAGCATGTATCATTTACCTTGAATCCTCCACCTCTGCAACTCAAAGCCTCTTTCTTCACTCAGCCTCTTTCTTCACTCTTCACTCTAGAAGACCAACTGAAGCTGCGCACAACTTCAGTTTCTCAAGAGTAACACCCTCAGTCAGCATATCAGCAGGCTTCACATAGCTTTGCACCTCGAAGCTATTTCCTGGGTTACTCTTGTCTCTTCTTACAACTCCCACTGCATGGGCAACATCCTGCCTCTGCTGAAAGTCTTTTTCAACAAGTCTAGCCTTGTACCTCTTACTGACATCACACTCGGTCTTCACCTGGTACACCCACTTGTTGTGCAATGTCTTCTTCCCTGGTGGAAGCTCTGTCAGCTCCCACTTGCTCGAACTTTCATCTTGCAAGATTTCTTCATAGTTCTGTGGTTCTTAAACATCTGTCTGTGGAACAGCATGAATGAGTGCCCCAGACCCACTTTCCTCTTCAGTTCCATCACTGTCCTGCACTGTGGCCTCTGGTAGATTTCCTACCACATTCAAAGCCCATGAATCCAATATCAAGTATTCAACAGAACCATGAACTGCCAACACCCTTCCAGGTACTATCTGAGAACACCACCGAATGACCGCACTCATTGAGCTGCCCAACAGAGATGGGGTTTTTCTTCAATTTAGAAACGTGTCTGACCTTTTGTAAAGTCCATTTTCTTTTGTTATGGAGTGTAATATCAACATCTCTCATCCCCACCATGCTCAGAGTTTTTCCATCTACCTGATGTACCTTCCTAAAGTTGCCTACAACATAGTTTTACATCAACTCCCGGTGGGAAGATGTATGGAAGGATGCCCTTGAATCCAATATTTAGTCATCAACAGAATTGTGAACTACCAACAATAATGTGTCATCTATTTCTTCAGTTAAGAAGAAGGATTCCTGCAGTTCCTTTTTATGTGGCCAGCCTTGCCACAATTCCAGCAGTTTGTCTGCTGACCTGACTTTTATTTTGATCTTTCTCTGATTAAGTTCCTGTCATGTGATCTCCCTCTAGAATGAACATTCAGCACCAAATTTGAACATGAGGCCTTGCCAGAATCCTTCTTGCACACGTCCTCAGCCATTGCACTCGTCCTCAGCCAAAATCAAATCACGAATATCATCATATTTTAGCTTAGATTTACCTGCAAAACTATTAACTGCTATTCTCACGACTTCCCAACTAACTAGTAATGAAGCCAACAAGATCAGTGCACATATCTCATCATCAACTCATCATCAAAATCAATTTCCAAAATCAATTTCCACAGACGACAATTAATTTGTGATAGTATTGAAAATATTAAGGTGTTGAGCAACAACGTTATCTTCAAGTTGAATAACTTTTTCATTAGATGTATCAAATTGAATAACTTCTTCATCAAATGCACCTTATTATTCGCCGATGATTTTTCATACATACCTAATAAGGCTACCATGAAATCTGCACTCGTCATTTCCTTGACGACGATAGACGTTGTGGGCAACCAATCTTGACAGGGTTAATCGTATAACCCCCAGAACATGTCGATCCAAAAGATTCCATTTCGTCTCGTCCATCTTTTCTCATTCAGCCTCATCCATCCTTTCAGGTCTTTTCCCCAATAACGGAAGATGAAGTTTCTTCCCATAAAGATAATCCTCTATCTGCATTCTCTAATAACCAAAATCTGTGCCATCAAACTTCTCGATCCCTGAAACCTTCACTTTATCTGTAGCAATCATTCTTCTTCAGATCTAAAACCATGCTCTGATACTAATTGTTGTTGCGAGATCTAGATATACCAGTTGATGTGGTATATATATATATATATATATATATATATATATATATAAAACAGGAGAACGAGAGAC